TTGTGAAATTTGTTTAAAATTGGGTTTTGTTGGCCGTTACGTTTAAGTGTCTCAGATAAAGATGGATAGCTCTCCATTCATAATAGCGTAGTTAGCAAATCAATTATCTCAAGACAGAATAGTGTAAGCACCTCAATCAGGGCTTCATTACTCCGTTGAGCCGCAAGCCTACGGCTGCAAATAGATGAGCTGGCCTAACCTGCAAAACCATTAACGCAGGCAAAACTGCTCCAAGCGACATGTCACGTCATTGCACGGCAGCAGCCACTGCATGCATAACGTTACATGTAACTATACTGACAGTGAGCATGAAGCCCATAGCAAAGTAGTATAGCGAGTTAAGGAGCATTATAACGACTTCTGTTAAAACCTCAAATACTTAGCTTTTGTGAAATTTCACGTGTGAACATTGTAGCGCTCATACATCCAGGCATATATAGTCTTAGATTATACTAGGGCAGAACACCGGCAGTGCACATCTTTCTAAGGCAGTAAATCAAACCAAGTGTTAACACTCTTGATGGTGTCGAAAGATGGGCGGTGTATCTCCCGACAGCCTGTCTTCCTCGCTTGTTATGCGGGTTGCATCCCCCCCGTGTCGTCCTGCGCTTGCTCCTCAGTCCTTTGCGGCAATGCAGTACGTGCTAAGCCCCTAACGAGTGGTGACATCTTCAACTGGTGTTCCGCGCCATTCCATCAATTAAACGCGCATATAATATGCCAATGCTTAAGTCACTGCTTCCGCACGCCTGTTGAACAAACAACTATATAGTTTTTTCAAAGTTCCCGCCGATTGTGCGCGTCAACAGATGTCGCTCTCTATGTAGACACCATGAAATTCTCGTACCCTTTTCGCCGCACTGACCTTTTGACCTGCTAGCCGGTCCAACTTTTCGGCGCACTACGGTTGATGTTCCCTAGCCCTCTTTAGGCCCCACCCTGAAGCTAACTAGGGCCCTCAGCCTCTCGCGCAGTGTTTCCTGCTCTCTGCTGGCCCTCGAGACTACTGCAGCGCTAGCTAGTTCCGGATACCGTTATCTTAAGAATTTGTGACGCAATTCTCGCCATTCCTCCATAATACTCCACTAAGGTAAGCAGAGTGAATGTTCCCGTGCCTTCTTTTACATATCCTGCCTCTTATGACCTTTGACCTTTTCGATTCCGCCAGCTTCGTACTATCTGTTTGCCCAACTTCGGTTGACCCGCAGTTCCCTGCGCCGCCTACTTATGTGCAATCGTGACCTCCGTCGACCGTCGACGTTGCCCCCGCCCTTTACCTTTTGTCTCGTGGCTCCTTCGGCCACGCCCTTATGCGCTTGATTCCCCTTCGCTTTTACAGATTTAGTGCCAGATATCTTGTGTGACAGACGGTCCCGACGCGTCCCGTACGGTCGACGACGCCTGGTGTGTCGATACGACTCGTGTGCTTCGGACTGGACAGGACGCGACGTGCTGTTCTGTGGCCCCTAGTCGTCGTTCCTTCTCTGGCGGCGTGTGTGCGTCTAATTGCTCTCGCGATTCACTGAACAAGCTGCATCTGGACTATGTATCAGATGAGCGACAATAAAAGCTGAACAGTTAATCTACTCTCATTAATGTTAAATATGTGGATCGATTATACCAATTTTTACCTTCTACTATTCGGTGACGTATATCACTTCAAAGTCTGTGTCACACGGTCCAGCATATGCCACGTTAAGTGAGCACCACAAGGAGCAGCCCGATCCGTTTAAGATTGCACACCTTGTAAACAATGTGGCGAGCAAAGTCTCTAGACAATCTGGCACCTGCGTGCTATCCCGGACGAGGGGGGGGCTCTTGAAACATCTTCAGCCGCCCAGCTGCCTCCGGGTGCAACTCTGCGAGAGCGTGTAGTGTCGAGGACTCGTGTTCAGACAGTTCGACTCGTTGGTGGGAGACGGTAGGGTAGAGCGCACGCGGCTCTGTGATAGCGAGTAACGTATGTATACGTTGCCTCGCTCCTACTCTGTAAAGAAAAGTATTGAGTGATCTTTGTCTCCCGTAAGACAAACAATCGAGGAACCTAGATATCGCGAGTAGTGATCCTGTTTCCGATTAACTTTCACGTCGAGGAGCTTTGCCAGACTGGTGTTTGTTTTGTTTATTCTGTCTCTGAATTGCGGCGGCTATGTGCCATGTTCTATAGGTGCTTGCTAAGCGAACACAAGCCTCATCGATTCGATCCCGGTCTCCATGATATCAGGCTCATCTGTTCGATTGGTCTGATGCGGATTCCCGATACCCCTGTTGTAGCGAGCTCATCGAAATCTGACTTCGCACGGTGTCGTCTTGGAGTCATGAGCCAGCCTGATTTCAAGCGTTTCTACAGGCTGATGACGAGAGAGAACCGGGCTGCCGTGGCCGCGGCTGATTGCGCCGGCGGCGCGGTTGGCGGGCGGCGGCGCGGGCTGGGGTTGGGTGCGGAGATTGGGGACCGGGAAATCATTCGATTCCTTTGATGCGATTCGCGGCGATAAATACTGAAAGTATCTATTTTTAATTATTTTCACGTTATTTTTGTTAAAGTATATAAATTATTATAAATTGCGGCAATGGAATAGCTAAATGGTGAGTAGAGCTAGAGAGTGTCAAAGAGTATGATGGTAGGAGGCGAGGGGCGGCACATTGCGCTGATATATGCATGTGGTGGATGGTAACACGCGAGGAGGATGATAAAATCAGTGCCTGTATATCGCTGGTAACACTGCCACAGTAATAGCGGGGGCCCACGCTCAGGCGTGAGTTCCTGTGAGCCGCGTGCCATCTGTTCTTACTTGTAGACATAAAAGTGTGTAGACGTGCTTTGAGTCGATGTTCGAATCCGAAAATATGTAGGCAACAAAAAATAAGTCAGAAGATCGGATGCGATGGAAGACGATCATCTCATAGTCCGATCAATTCGTGGAGTTCGTTACAGCGCCCTACATTTCTACGTGGTCCACCTGTAAGATATCTGGGTCCTTATTTACTGTATTACTGAAGGAGACAGCCTTTTTACTGTCATGTTGGAGAAGCTTGATATCCCTGTTGAGCGAGCCGAGCGTCGGCCTGTCAGTGGGGACGATCTGCTTGAAGACTCTATAGTAAGTGATGAGCTTACTCTTTACCGTGTGAAGGTAGTTTTGCCACTGTGTGGGAGATTTTTACCTCCGCTCGTTGTAACAGAGTCTTTTACCGTTCTCATTCTGTGTGGGAGATGTTTACCTTTCCGTGTAGCAGGAGTTTACATGTGTGGGAGATGCTTACCTCTTGCGCGTGTCAGGGAAGAAGATGTTGCGGCTCGGTACGCGTCGTGCTTGCGCCTATCTGCACATCTCGTCGCTTCGATCTATTTCAGCGGCCATTAAGTTGACCGTGACCATACTATTTTATGTATATCCGCAGTTGTGCCGATTGTCTATGCTGCCCATGCGAGATGTAGCTACCACGTGATAACATATCATAAGTGTTCTAGCAGATTTGACTTTTATTTGCTCGGCCCGTTCGGTCCGGCGTCAATGAAAATGCCCGTATCGTTACCTGTCTTCTCCGATTATTGATCCTTTTGTCTATACCTGGCCTGCCGGCATCTCCCACGGCCAACGTGACTGTTTTACACCATGCCATGCACACTCCCCCCCCCCCCCGTACATGACAATCAAATATGCCCGGTCCCGGGTTCCACAGGCTACGGTAATACTCGCCTCACAGCTCACGCTGTGCTGGGCGGCTGCGCGACGCTCTTTTCGCCGGCGGCATGCCTTCTTACGGCGACCTTTGATAACTAAAGTGAGGGATGTCGGTGGCTCGAGGAGTGTCAGATAGCCGCCCTTACAAATCGCTAGATACCCTACCCGTATCGTCCATACCCAATGCTTTGGATAGTATACCAGCGCTTGAGTAGCGAGAGCCAACCCATGCTGATTAAGAGGTACTCTAGAGCGAATTATTTTCTCGGCAACGTATGGGCGTAGTCAGGCATTTAGCTTCACTGCCGCGCCGGGATGCCCCGATATTATTTTCACTCGACAGTTGAGCGAGCGGGGCGCGCGAACGCAGTGCGCAAGGTCCGCACCCGCTGTTTAATCACGCTCGCCGCCTCGGGCAAGCGTGCAGTAATCTGGGCTAGTGTGTCGCTAGGCTTAAGCTAGCTTGCTGTCACAGCAGACACGATAACACGGCAAGCCAAGACTGCGGTGTAAATGGCAGACTGTTGATTGTCTTGAAAAAAAATGCTATACTGGGCCAAAGGATTCTATGCCCAATTGGTAGGGCAAAATTTAATGTTGTAAGCACATATGCTATGATGCCAAATTTTTCAGCCGTGAAATTTGTTCCGTGCCGTTAAAAGAGTTTTACCATGTTGGAGAATGTTACCTTCTGTTAAGGATTTGACATCGTGAAGAGATTTCTTACAGCTTCTGTGGCCTCTACGGGCTGTGTAAACATCTCTCACAGATGGTCAAAATCCTTACACAGAAGGTAAACATCTCCCACACATGGTAAAACTCCTTACACGGAAGGTAAACATCTCCCACACATGGTAAAACTCCTTACACGGAAGGTAAACATCTCCCACATATGGTAAAACTCCTTACACAAAAAGGTAAACATCTCCCACACATAGTAAAACTCCTTACACGGAAGGTAAACATCTCCCACACATGGTAAAACTCTTTACACGGAAGGTAAACATCTCCCACACATGGTAAAACTCCTTACACAGAAGGTAAACATCTCCCACACATGGTAAAACTCCTTACACGGAAGGTAAACATCTCCCACACATGGTAAAACTCCTTACACAGAAGGTAAACATCTCCCACACATTGTAAAACTTCTTAGACGGAAGGTAAGCATATCCTATTTAAGCTAAGCATCTCCCACTGAAGGCAAGCTCCTCTCACAGATCATAAGCTTCTCCAACAGACAGTA